TAAGAGTGTGAAAGAGATGGTGTGTCTTCTATGTGTAAGACCTGTTTCTTACCATTGATGGTCTGGGAATCAGATTTTTATTGAACGTAAAGGCACAAATGAATAGCTAATAGCAGGCATCTATTAGAGCGCTTCTGCTGCAACTCTGAAAGCCAAACGAATCATATCACAACTTTAACTTTTTCTGTTTTACTTTCCTCTGGGGACTACATTAACTACCTGCAGGTAGTTCCTTTTCCCAGATGGAAATATTTTCTCATGAGGCTGAAAGCTTCCTAACTTCTGAAGAACATCATCCTTCTCCTATATCTGCTGAAATCCAGAATGAGGTAATGCATTAGTTACTTTAAGGAGGAGTTAATACTTCTGATAGTATTAATTCATGAGATGATGCTTAATGGGCAGTCTAAATATGCCTGCCTTTGACTTTACTCCTATATTTTCTCTTGCTCTGCGTGAAGAGGCAGTGCTGAGCTGGAGGTGGAGACCCTTCACTGTTTTGCGGCCAGCAAGGCTATACTTGTGCACCAGCTCTGTTTGCTGCAGTGATGAGCTGCATTGGCCATCTGAGATTACATTTCTGGGCTGCACTCAGTTTGCATGAAAACTGGATGCAAAATTTTGAAGCAACTTGTTTTTTTAACCCCTGCTCTATTTTTAGTGGCAGCTTTATTCCCCCAGAAGCATCCCTTCAGACACACCAGGGTAGTAAAGTACAAGTCACACGCAGGCTGCCATGGCACAGGTGTAACAGCCAACTTCCCCACTGACTGCAAATTAAGGCAACTTTCTGTGTGGGATTAAATGAGAACTGGCAAAGCTGCTTTTGTGTATTTTAAATGAGCTTCACAGTTAAGGATAAATGATGCTAATCTAGAGCCACAAATAATACAGGCATCTGGTTGTTTTGGACTTCATACCTGGTAACTGATCATGGTCTTTGAGTTGTGGGCTCAAATGGTCAAGCTGGGTTTTGAATCCAAGTATATGCATTTGTTTTTTCTCAGCACATGATTTTCTGTTTGTCTGAGTTCATTGTGAAAAGGCGACTCTTGTGAGAAGCATCATGGACCAAAGGATAGCTGTGGTCAGTCTCACCAGAACAAGTGAAAACCATAGTGTGATGGAAGGGGCATAGGACCTTAGTCTTGTAGCTCTGCTAGAACATGTTCTTGGCAGAAACTTCTGCCTAGTTGTATTTCCTGGTTCAACACCAGACCTGCGTCATCAGGTATACTTTCTTTCCTGAAGAACAAAACCAGAAAAATAAACATTTTTGCACAATGAACAAAAATTCGTTATTTTATACCACGTTCAATCTGGGGGACTTTTCCCTTTCACATTTCCACCCCTCTTAGCAAATAACATTGAAATCCAAGTGGGATTTCAGGTTTTGGGTGTCACTATGCCATACACTTGTATCTCTGAGTCAGTTGGTTTTATGTGGCTAAATTTCATTGCTGAACCACTCAGCAGAGCAAAGGGGTTGTAAGTGGAAGCAGAATCTGGTCCTATGCTATTCCCCAGTGCATAGCAGGCATTGCTGCTGCCAGGCAGGTTTCCTCTGCCACCCGTCGTGGTGCTTTGGGCTGACAGGAGGCTTGTCACATGTCATGGAGGATGTGAAAGGTCCTGGGTATTTCCAGGTCATTGATATATTTTTCCTCGTCTTCAGGTGAATGATGATCTCAGATAGTGTTCCTCTCATGTTTCAGTGATGTAACGAAGAGGGAAAATTAGTCAGAAAAAGATCTCTGCAAACCAAGGTCTGAATTTTGTGGAAGAAAAATGCTATAGCTGCAGCTGAGCCCAAAGCAAATGGAAGGAGAGCTCACTTTCGTTTTCATCTCATGGCTTTCCTATTATTGGTGCTCTGATCCACCCACACAAAACTAGGATCAGGAATTTGGGCTTGGTAGAAAGTTGTCTGGGATTTAGCTGCTGCTTGTAACTCAGATTTTTTTCTTCTTTAAAAAGAATGTAAGAAAAGGGGAAAGATGGCTGAGATACTGCAAAAAAAAAATAATCTATCTCCTTTCTCTGTGTTAGTACAGTCAACTTGTACATGGCTGATTCACATTATGGCATAAATATAATTGACATGATCCCACCTGACAAGATCATGTGATGTGACATATTAAACTTAAAGAAAAGAATCTTTTGCATCAGATGTCCTCCATCAATTCCAATTTCAGAGTAATATAGCTTAAAGAATTTGGCATATGAAAGAAAATCTGGTGTCTGTCTAGAGTAAATGACTTCATGTTTTATAGTTATTGCTCAGGGTAGGGACCAGAAAATGAATATTATAAATTTGTAACTTTTTCAGCAGCGAATTATAAAAACATGTTTTTTTTTTCTGTTTAATTTTCCTTATTAAATGCAAACCAATGCAACAGACACACCAGAACAAGCAAAACGCTGAGCAGAACATTTCTCTCAATTACCCATGCTGTTTATCTACACGTATAGCGTGTTGCCACATGTTTTTGATTAATACAAACACACAGCTCTTGGTATGAATTTCTGTGTGGATGAATGTACTGTACAAATCCACTTAGCTCATGAGAAAATAAAAAGGGCTTCAATATTAAGAAGATAGGAAAATGGCATCATACCTGTCCAACTATGCTGAGGCTAGAGAATATGCATGCAGCATTTGTACATGTGTTTTTGTCCTTTGGGGTATGCAGAAAGAGGACAGGAAAGGTGAGCTGTACTCGACAGTGTATTGCAAAAAACAGTGGTCTTATTGGGAACAATAGTGGAAAATAGAAACAAGCAGTTGTCTTCAAAAAGTGGGAGAACTCTGGTTTAGAAGTATGGACTAATGATGATGATACCAATACTTTTCCTGGCTAGGAAGGTTTTACAAAATAAATGTGTGTTTAAACACATATTTATAGATAGACACATTTGATGTTTATTTATAAAATAAATGTTATGTGTGCTTGTTGCTGTGATTTTGAAGTGGGCATCCTCAATTAGTCACAAAAGATTTTGGATGTAAAGTGCTTGTTGCCATCTGCTGATGAGGAATAAGACTCATAAGTATAAACTTACAGTAACTATGTTTTTAAGTGTTATTTTAAAATATCTTCATATTTGCTAAAGGAAACTTTGCCTTTTATTCAAAAGTCTGAAAAGTTTCTCTTTTTGGCCACTTTTCCAAGCAACTCCCTGCCCTGATGGCACTCCAGGTTTTACTCATGGTTGGAACTGTGTTTATTCACAAAGGTGGAACTTTTGACTGAGAGGCCTTATTTGTAAAATTTTCTCCTTTACTGAATGTTGTTTTGAATGTTAATGCACTAATTTCAGCAAGAAATAGTTATTAAAAACAAATGAGGTCCTACTAGTTTTCCCTTTGCATTCTAATAATAGTCACCTGCTGACAAATGGACTGACCCCATGCTGCACACATGGTTTGAAAAGATAAACAACAAACACCTACCTGCAAGTTTACCTTTACAAAAGAATTGAGATTCACCTACTCTGTCTGTGGTGGGGAATGTGTGTGGTGGGCATCTCCTGCTGTGGTGGGAATGGCAGAGTCTTTCCCACCATTACACAAATGCCTAGCAGCACAAAGGCCAAGGTGTGAAAACCCAGTCTGGCAAGAAAAGATCACATTGGAATGAAGAAACCACTGAAACAAAGTATTGCCTGCTGCTCCCATTTATTGTTTTATCTTTTCCAAAGCTGCTCCTCCAATGAGGAGACTCTGATGGATGGTGGAGGGAAACAAAGAGCAATTTTGTTGTGGGGTTTAGGGCAGCTCAGCAGTCCCAATGACAAGTGTTACTGTGGAGTGGTGGAAATGGCCATCTGCCACCCTTGGGCTCACCACAGCTTGATGCTATGCATGGCTGTGGCACCCTCTCTGCTGAGATTGCTGCTCTGCTCCTTCAGCCTTGGGAAATCACTGCCAAAATTGAGTGATAAAGGGAATAATAGTGAAATTAATGGAAAGGAAAAGAATCCTTGCAGGTACACCTCTGAAAACCAAGTTATCAGTGGGTTCTGGGCCGCACTGCTGTAAAGGCAGTGATGCATGATACAGAAGAGATGCTTAAAAAGATATATGGTTATGAAAATAGGCATTAACCACAAGCAGAATATAAACCCTTCATTTAGCTTGGGGTAAAGAAAGAAACAAAACCGTGTCTTGATGTCATGTCACAAGAGATTATGTCTGATTCTGATGTGCTGCAAAAGAAATTTTACATGTGATAGATCCCACAGTTCCTCTGTGTCCTTCATGCCTTTTAGGCACAGAGAGGGCGAGGCAGTTGAATTTACTATATTGCCATGATGATGCTAGACAAGTATGGAGAGAGGGGAAACTTCTTTTGCTCTGGACAGCTAAAAAGAAAATACAACTTTTTTTGATTGGACTTGCTGTTGCTGTATGGGAGGCAGCTGCATGATTGTTCAGGTAAGCATCACTTGTGCAGAGCCCAAGAAACTGGTTCAGGGGTCTTGATGGACCATACTTGAGACCATGCTCTTTTAGGAAAAGAAAATAGCTTGTTTGGGGATTTAGATAATAAAGTCCATACCTATAGATGACATGGGGCAGAAAGGGGGACTTGTTACAAAGACAATGATGAGAGTACCTTCTGCTTATACCTTTTGCACTAGCTGTTATTAAAACCGCCATTAAATCAGGTCTTGCTCATTCATTCTGTTTACGTGTAGGGTTTGTGGCTTGACTTCCCTTCTATTGTTTAAAAGAAAGTAGCAACTTACCTGCCTCAGAAAGATGCTCCAAAATGAACCTCAGGAACTGCAAAGGGTTGTGCTTGGAGGGTGCTGAGTAAGTGACCGAAAAGTTATCACACATTTTTTGACCCTGTTTCTATCTCCTCTGGTGCTTCCTTTTAGGGAGTGAAAGCTTGCAACCAAAAGATTTAAACATTGCGAGAAATGCGGATTTCAGCTTCACGTGCCTTAATTTCACTGTCGAAACTTTCTTTGATCTTTTCTTTTTTTTCCAGTTTAGCGTTAGTAGTAGAAACTTGTGCCTAACAACAACATTGCAATGTGGCCAAGTCTTCAGGTAATGTGTTCAAAGTAGAAAAGCAACGAGTCAGCGTGTAGAAATAACTCTAATAGGATCTGATCCAACGTGTATTGACATCATGGATGGTTTCTATTTGTTTAAATTGGTTTAGGGATGGTGATATATAGATCTCAACAGAATCTTTCAAGAACTGTGCAGTTTATGAGTGTTTCATCTGTAAGAAATGATGCCAAGTTTTGTGGCAAAATATATCCTGTTTTATACAAAAGATGAGTAATTTTAATAGCAGCAAAGTCATTTTGAACTAGGCTTTTTTCAGTTAACCATCCATTAGAAAAATACCTGCATGTGTCTTTTCAGCAAGCTATAACAATAATCTGAGGGGAGAAGGAGAATCTTTAATATATTTTTTAATTGGTACTTAATGGTCTTTGTTTCCAGGGACTTAGTGGTTCGGTTTGATAGATGATAGTCTAACAATATCTGCAACAAGAAACAACTTCCTACTGCAAGTTCAAATGATTTCCAAGGAAGAGAGAGCCTAGTGTTTGTTAGTCCTGCAGCTCTTTGTTGTTTTGTTTTGTAGATTTTTGGGGAAGGGAATTAAATGGAAAATGTCAGAAACACTCCTGGTAGTTTTGTGTATCATTAGAAAAATTAACTGTCGCTCTCCTATGTTTGGAGTCAGATATCCAGATGCTATTCTCTCAGCACTAAGAGATTTATGCTAAAAAGCCTGATGCATGCTGACATGCAGCAGATCTCATTCCTTTGCTTCCAAAAATTCAAAAGGAAAACACAGCAGAAGACCACAGGGAGTTACCACCAAGCACAATGTTTGGAAGAAAGACAAGAAATATCATGCATGGGCTTGGGGTACTGTAATCGTGGATGCTTCAGTCATACTTGTATTTTAGTGAATACCAAAATCATTTGTGTCATGTGAGCACAGGCTTTGTGAGGTCTGGTGAAACTGGTGAAATGGGAGATTTGTAAATATATCTGATATTTTATTCTGCTTTTCCTTGTGTAATTGCAACATTATATTTTTTTGGTTGAGAGGAGATGCTGGGAGAAGAATCACTGTCTGCCTGCCCTATCCAACTACTTTTCCTAGGCAGCTGTTATAGGTCTGAAACAAGATACAAAGAGAGTAGTGCTTTTGACAAGGAATATTCTGATATTCCCCTGGTGCTTAGGATTACTGTGAAAGTGTTACAGTGTGTGGGGAGTAGAAAATGTTGCTGCCAAGACACCTTTTGTCACTGTTAGGAAGACAAAAGATAATACAAATGGAAGTCTTAACTCCACTAAGTTTGAAAGTAAGAGTTGAGCAAGGAGACTCGGTCTTTAAACCAGCTGGGTATTTCCCATTGCTCAAAAAAATAGGCTGAGCTATTTTGTGTAAAAGACATTTGATGACATAAAAAGCAGGGGGAAAAAAAGCAGTTACAATTTTCTTCAAAACATCTTAGGCCAGAAAAGACCATGGAAAGGAGAACACAAACTACACTAAAAATGAAAGAAAGAGAAAAAGAAATCAACCCAGGACATTCAGATGCAGAACAAGCTTTCCAGGTTCATAGCAGTAACTGCAGCAAAACTGAGGAGAACCAAGAGATATAAATCCCTGTGTCATCCTTTGGCTCTTGGAAACTGGGAGATTTCCTGCTGGTTCAGGTCATCACACATGTCCCTGTAAGTCGTGTAGTACCAAGCACTGTTGAAGTTAGGGTGCAATTACAGACAAGATGGGCAACTGATACAACCAGGATTGCTACAACAGAGGGTCTCTGGCAAAAAAAACATCTGAAATAAAGTTTGCTTTTCAGTCTGATGCCTCTTTGTGTTCCCAGCTCCACAATAGTGTTTAAATATCAACTCTTCTATAATATGTATAGGCAGCTATACATTTAAACAGAATTCAATGAAGACTGATAATGTAGTAGGAAATCATCTATACCCAAAACCAAAATAGTAATATTCCCTTTTATAATGGAATATTGCTTCTGAGGTATTGAAACAAATCAGCAATAACACTACCATACTTTCCAAATGGTGTGTGAAATTCAGCCACTGGTTCATGCAAGTTGCATACAATTGTGATTTGACTGAATTAGATGGACTGCAATTTCCAATTTTTTAATAGAATGAGTCTGCAAAGCAATTGTGAAAGGGTACTTGCGAAGAGGGGAAAGGAATGAAAAAAAACAGCTGAAAGAGATGTCTTTAACTTCTATGTAATTAAAAAGCCTTTAATTAGGTCCTATTGGGTGAGAAACCTCAGGTTAAAATATTTCATTATTGTAATGATAACAGCAGGAAATCAAAAGCAAGAAATGAGAATATTGGGTCTGGATCCTATTTCTCCTCAGTAGTTTACATATTTCATACCTTAAATGATGTAATGATTTTTGTTTTTTGGAGAACCTACAGCTCAAGGTGATTTGGTCCCTATATTGTTTCTTAGACTACCTCTGTGCTGCAAAAAGACAAGCCTTGGTGAATTTGATTGTGCTTAAAGACATCTGCAATATTTAAATAAAACAGTCTCAAATTCCAATTACAGCTGTGCATGTAAATACTTCTCTGAACTGCAGGAAAAACTGGGAAGAAAATGGGTTGGTCTGAAATTACTTTTCTTTTTTCTTGTGTTTCCTTCCCAAATGTTTTACTTAGCAGTGCTTTTCCCATTGTAACAACGCCAAAAAGCCTGAAAGACAAATAGAAAAGAAAAAAAAAATAAGGAAAGAAAGGAAGGAATGTTGCAATGGATGAAAAACTTTGTTTAACCTAAATTAAAGGCACTGTTGCATTATTGTTTTCAATCTTAATCATAATCTTTAAATTTGGTTTAATTTTAAACTGAAACATCATTTGGAAAAGTCAAAACATTTCAAAACTCTGAATGAAATGTTTCTCATGCATAGAAAATATTGTATTTTTTCCCTGACAACTAGTTAGCTATGTTTTTCAGGGTATAAGCTGTCTATAAGAAAATGGTTTTTTAGGTCTATAAGCAAATATCAAATTCTATCATAAAGATATTTGTGAAAATAGAATAGGTAAAATCAGATTGATGGAGAAAGATGACAGAAGACTCTGTCAGAGGTGCTTTGTATCAGGTTTTAAGAATCTACTGAATACCTTTTGGCAAAACAAGTGTCAGTTAAATGAAAACATTTATTAACTAAATTGCAGCTGATTTAAACCAAATGATCAAGCATTAAAAGTGAGTTCCCCATGTAAAGCACTGCAAGAAGTGCCAGAAACAGCCCTGCTGGAGTTGTTCGTGCCAGAGACCCTGGGGATGGATTTTCATAGAGTTTTCCAGCAAAGAATGGCCCAGGCTGCCTTGCCTCTGGTCCTTATGAGACCAAATCTGCAGAACAGCCCCAGTGTCAGAAGGAATTGTGGTGTAGTGGAGCAGCTTGCTATTGCTCACCTACAACATGGCCACTGCTGGTACCCTGGGCACCTCCAGTGAGGGCCAGGACCACTGCAAGCTCCCACACCATCTACATTTGCTTTACAAAATTTTGTGCCCTGACACTCTTCAAGTTTTATATATATAAAATATATTTTTATAGATATAAAATTTACACACTGCAAGATGCTAGTACACTCCACCGTCACCCATTTCTCAGATAGCCAGAGGAGTCTAGCCATTATAAAATAGTGATTGAATATCAAAGGCACCACAGCATCTCTCAGTCAATCAGGAATTGTCTTTGCAAGCCTGGCAGGTAAAAAAGATGTCTGGATTAAATCTTAATTCTCTCAAACCAGGCTCAGCGGGGGCTGAAGTTTGCTAGTGAAGGCAAATGAAGAGGATTACGTTAAAGCAATTTGAAGAGCTTAAACTTGATCCCTCCCTCAGCAAACTTGCACATCTCTAGAAGGATTTCTAGGCATTGAAGAGAAAACTGTCAGCAGCCATGGTGATTTCAAGCCGGTAAGCCTTCACCAGTAGTACCCAAATACAGTATCAACAGAGCTGGTGCATGAGAACTGGAGAGAAAAGAGAACTCTGATAAAAGTGAAGAGCTGCTTTTCTCGTTAGACTAGAAGAGACCTAAAAATGCAGGGAAAACATTTAAAAGCAGGTGAGGTTTTGCTTATGATTACCTAAGGTGTTTTTTCTCTCCCAGGGAATTCAGTATCTCACTAACAATATCTCCCTAATGATGGTGATGGCCAAGTCTTTGATGTCCTCTCCTGGGGGTGAGCCTCCACCAGGAGGGTGGTGCTGCAGGTGGAAGTGGGCAGCCACTGGCATGAGTATCAACCCTCTGCAGTGTTGGCCTCTCGCAGCTGTAGCCTTTTACTCCATGTGAGTTTAATGGAGAAGGTGGTTATAGTTATTGTATGAGGTGTGGCTTCAAGGATTTGTTTTCAGAATCTTTATTGAAATCCACTGAACCGTGCTGTCTTGTCTATCATTTATGGTTTTTATTATGCTTACATACAAGGTCTTGTCATAAAGCATAGTTGCTAGCAGACAAGTTGTATATAAAAAATGATCTGGCTGTTTCATTTGAATAGCAGAGTATATGTAGGATTCCAGAATTTAATAAGCCGCTTAGATGCATCTAAGTAAGTTTTGGGTGTTGCAAATGCTCTGGGGAGGGAGCTGTACTGCTGGGTGAACAGTGCCTCACACAGCGGGGTCCTGAGCTGTGACTGGAGCTCTGGAAGAGCTCTGAAGTGCAAAACCGAGCCTACCACTTGGGGTATAAGGTCACATTAGAGGTAACCAGAAAGCATGGGCAGGTTTGGTGCATCAGAACCCAGTGGGCTTGATTTTACACAAACAGTAATAACAGGTACAAGCTTTGCAATGGAATTCTGCCTTCCTTACAAAGAGCTAAATCTGTGCATTGGTACCGCCTTGCAATCCCCTTCTCCCTCCTTGCCTTCACCAATCTCTGGGAACGAAACTGTCAACCTTATCCCCAGTAGGTGGGTTCCCTTCGAGAGGGGAAACTTCGTGAATTGACTTGGCACAAGTGAGCTGCCCTATAGACATACAGTGAGGCTTTGGAGAGGATGGTATGTCTTCAGCCTTATTCTCCTCTGTCTGCCTCATCCTTGACATGGATCCAGCTCTGGTTAGCGTGTCAGTGCTGCTGGTGATCCTGCTGTGGACGTAGGTAGTGTACTCTGGTCTTCTCTATCTTGTTTGTGAATGGTGACATCCACTTACATATGAACCTTCTGGTGACACCAAGAGCCAATTACTTGATAAAACTGGGGGTGCAGATAGCCAATGTAAATATTTGCATGAATTAATTATATACATTAACTCTGAGTCTGTAAACTCCAAGAGGTAGTAATGGTCTGATTCAAGCCCCTGGCTCAGGTCTATCTTTATTAAAACTTCCAACTGTAAAGACTTTCCTGATGTCCATGCAGCTGAGGGGCTATCAGAAGCCATGGCTCCCAGCACCAAGTTCAAGAAAACCTGACCTTTTTAGAGCTGTTTTCTGGGGGAAATGTATTTGAGGGAATAAGGAAGCGAAGAATACAGCTCTCTTCGAATGAAGTGGGGAACTCTGTAGTACATAAAGAAACTGGCAAGGATCCATGAAAATTAACATCAGAGATAAAAGAAATCTAACCATTGCTATGCTGGGAGAGTGCAGTGAAACCCTGATGTTGGGCTTTTGGCAGGTCTAGGCATAAAACAAATGCTTACTGATGCATAGCCCAGGCAGACCTGGCATCATCTCCTCTGGAGCTACCCTGCCAGCTGCCTCAGCCATAAATGGGATCCCACAAACATGTACAGTCAAGGATGAACAATAAGAAAGATGAAATATGTTACAGGGGTTGAGAAAGAAGAGTGGGACTGGGAAGCCTTACTTTTAATTTCATTTTGTTACTGGGTTTTCTGCATTAGGGCTACAGTGCCACGAGGAGAAAGAGAACGACCTTGGCCATACAGTAAAATGGAGAGGCTGGATGTCGCCTGTCCGTGCTGTTGGCTGATAGCCAGACAGCCTCCACTCAAATCAT